ATGATAGTATAGATATTTTAATATATTTCATAATTAATAATGTCATAATAATTATAATATTGTGTATAAAAATTTTACAGTTGGAAAATTGGAATCGATTACATGTGATAATATGAACCAATTATGTTTTCTCTGCAAATTCCTTTCTTTATTTAAGTCTCTTCGTTAACATCATTCTCTTGAATCTGTCGAACCTTCGTTAACATCATTCTCTTGAATCTGTCGAACCTTCGTTAACATCATTCTCTTGAATCTGTCGAACCCTTTCCAATCTTGAGCCTCATCACTCATAACATATCTCCCAATAATGCCTTATCAAGTCGATATCCTGAGCTTTATGCATGCGTTCTCATTTCTATAAAAAAAATAAAAGGTGAAAACAATCAAACACTAACTAAAAACGTAAACTAACAATGTAGAGCATATTACCAGATATCATATATCGCTTGAATCCTAACCATGATCTTCTCCGACACATTTATTAGTAATCTGTGCATCGATTTCATCCGGCAACCTAGATATCATTCCTTCATCCAAGATCATAGCCCTCATCACACTCCGGTACGTTACCGGCTCCGCCAGCACGATCGTGCCGCTAAGAACCTCCCGGTTCAATCGATACTAGATCTCCTCGACCAGCTTCGAGAGCGGAAGGTCACTCTCGATTAGCATAAACGAGACGAGATCTTCGAATAAGTCTTCTCCTGAACCACTCCAGTGACTATTCAGGTTGATCTTCACTTTTCAGCCATAAATTCCTTATAATAGCCGAACAAGTCGAGAAGCTCTTTCTCTAAAGATTCAACTTCCTCCTCCTCGGTCTTCTTTATGCAAATCGATGGCTCCGGGGTGTTGTTCGAACAAGATTATGCAAGGATCTAGGTATAGCGAATAGCGACTTCGAAGAATGAATTAGGCAGCGAAAAATCGAATGAAAGGAGGTTAGGTTAAATGAATACTAACCACGAAGGGATTAACCTCGACCTCTTCTTGGTCGAAGGGATTGGGATCGTAGCGACTCATGAATAGGAGTGAAAGAGAGAAATGGATGCTATTGTTGGTGCAATGTGCGTGACAGAGTAAGAGAGTGACAGACAGAGAAGAAAGCCTTGTAATCTACGGCTTCCTCTCTTTCCGCTTCTGTTTCCACAAACGAAAAATCTGCATGCGTTCTTGTATAACCATCTTCTTCTTTAACACCTTTTTATCTTTTTTTTTTTTTGGTACAAAACTTTACTTTAATATTCTTTAAGGGAATTCCTTATTTTATTCTTATGAATAGGGTATTTAGAAACACCTTTGTCTTTTATTTCCTTTTAAAATAAGTTTTAAAATTTTTTTTATTAAAATGAGATTTTATTAAAACTTGTGGTTATGTTGTATCATTATTAGATAATGTAGGAATAAAATTCGGGATAAAAAACTGCACTGTTTCTTGAAGTTGAACTTTAATTTATTTAATTAAGTTATACATTTTTTAAATTAACATTTTATACTTTAATTAACTTTTAAATTTACTTTTGTACGACTTCTTCTAATTTTATCTTAAATAAACATTTGTTTTTTTATTAGTTTAAAATCTATTTCACCTTAAAATTAAGATAAAAAACTAACAAAAAGAAAAGTCAATAACTTATTC